GTGGGAGGACACGGCCGGAGGACACAGTGGGAGGACACGGGCCGGAGGACACAGTGGGAGGACACGGGCCGGAGGACACAGTGGGAGGACACGGGCCGGAGGACACAGTGGGAGGACGGGCTCGAGGACACAGTGGGAGGACATGGGCAGGAGGACACAGTGGGAGGACATGGGCCGGAGGATATGAGCCGGAGGACACAGTGGGAGGACACGGGCCGGAGGACACAGTGGGAGGACACGGGCCGGAGGACACAGTGGGAGGACACGGGCCGGAGGACACAGTGGGAGGACACGGGCCGGAGGACACAGTGGGAGGACACGGGCCGGAGTACACAGTGGGAGGACACGGGCCGGAGGACACAGTGGGAGGACACGGGCCGGAGGACACAGTGGGAGGACACCGGCCGGAGGACACAGTGGGAGGACATGGGCCTGAGGACACAGTGGGAGAACATGGGCCGGAGAACATGAGCCGGAGGACACAGTGGGAGGACATGGGCTGGAGGACACAGTGGGAGGACATGGGCCGGAGGACATGGGCCGGAGGACATGAGCCGGAGGACACAGTGGGAGGACATGGGCCGGAGGACACAGTGGGAGGACATCGGCCGGAGGACACAGTGGGAGAACATGAGCCGGAGAACATGAGCTGGAGGACACAGTGGGAGGACACAGTGGGAGGACATGGGCTGGAGGACACAGTGGGAGGACATGGGCCGGAGGACATGGGCCGGAGGACACAGTGGGAGGACATGGGCCGGAGGACACAGTGGGAGGACATGGGCCGGAGGACGCAGTGGGAGGACACCGGTCGGAGGACGCAGTGGGAGGACACCGGTCGGAGGACGCAGTGGGAGGACATCGGTCGGAGGACACAGTGGGAGGACATCGGCCCGGAGGACACAGTGGGAGGACATGGGCCGGAGGACACAGTGGGAGAACATGAGCCGGAGAACATGGGCTGGAGGACACAGTGGGAGGACATGAGCCGGAGGACACAGTGGGAGGACATGGTCCGGAGGACACAGTGGGAGGACATGGGCCGGAAGACACAGTGGGAGGACATCGGCCGGAGGACACAGTGGGAGGACATCGGCCGGAGGACACAGTGGGAGGACATGGGCTGGAGGACACATTGGGAGAACATGAGCCGGAGAACATGAGCTGGAGGACACAGTGGGAGGACACAGTGGGAGGACATGGGCCGGAGGATATGAGCCGGAGGACACAGTGGGAGGACATGGGCCGGAGGACACAGTGGGAGGACACGGGCTGGAGGACACAGTGGGAGGACACGGGCCGGAGGACACAGTGGGAGGACACGGGCCGGAGGACACAGTGGGAGGACACGGGCCGGAGGACACAGTGGGAGGACACGGGCCGGAAGACACAGTGGGAGGACACGGGCCGGAGGACACAGTGGGAGGACACGGGCCGGAGGACACAGTGGGAGGACACGGGCCGGAGGACACAGTGGGAGAACATGGGCCGGAGAACATGAGCCGCAGGACACAGTGGGAGGACATGGGCCGGAGGACATGGGCCGGAGGACATGAGCCGAAGGACACAGTGGGAGGACATGGGCCGGAGGACACAGTGGGAGGACATCGGCCGGAGGACACAGTGGGAGGACATCGGCCGGAGAACATGAGCTGGAGGACACAGTGGGAGGACACAGTGGGAGGACATGGGCTGGAGGACACAGTGGGAGGACATGGGCCGGAGGACATGGGCCGGAGGACACAGTGGGAGGACATGGGCCGGAGGACACAGTGGGAGGACATGGGCCGGAGGACGCAGTGGGAGGACACGGGCCGGAGGACGCAGTGGGAGGACACCGGTCGGAGGACACAGTGGGAGGACATCGGTCGGAGGACACAGTGGGAGGACATCGGCCCGGAGGACACACAGTGGGAGGACATGGGCCGGAGGACACAGTGGGAGAACATGAGCCGGAGAACATGGGCTGGAGGACACAGTGGGAGGACATGAGCCGGAGGACACAGTGGGAGGACATGGGCCGGAGGACACAGTGGGAGGACATGGACCGGAAGACACAGTGGGAGGACATCGGCCGGAGGACACAGTGGGAGGACATGGGCTGGAGGACACAGTGGGAGAACATGAGCCGGAGAACATGAGCTGGAGGACACAGTGGGAGGACACAGTGGGAGGACATGGGCTGGAGGACACAGTGGGAGGACATGGGCCGGAGGACATGAGCCGGAGGACACAGTGGGAGGACATGGGCCGGAGGACACAGTGGGAGGACACGGGCCGGAAGACACAGTGGGAGGACACGGGCCGGAGGACACAGTGGGAGCACACGTGCCGGAGGACACAGTGGGAGGACACGGGCCGGAGGACACATTGGGAGGACACGGGCCGGAGGACACAGTGGGAGGAGAGGACACGGGCCGGAGGACACAGTGGGAGGACACGGGCCGGAGGACACAGTGGGAGGACACGGGCCGGAGGACACAGTGGGAGGACACGGGCCGGAGGACACAGTGGGAGGACGGGCTCGAGGACACAGTGGGAGGACATGGGCAGGAGGACACAGTGGGAGGACATGGGCCGGAGGACACAGTGGGAGGACATGGGCCGGCCAGGAAGGTTAAAGCAGAACTCCAGTCAATAATAACACGATAGAAATGAACAGCCCTGGTAAAGGATGAAAGAACCAAACCAGCTGTTGCTGCAACATTCACCTTCTATCCAGAGATTTCCCCTGCAGTACTTTTTTTCTGCCACTACATGTCCTTAGGTCAGGTCATCCCGGACCAGCCCCCACCCTGTGACTGAACAGTGAAAAGAAAAGCAGCACAACGATGAGCGTATCTCTCAGTGACTCTGCTCTCTGTGCCTATTAGTATATGAACCGATTGGCTCCTTGTGCTGCTTCTTCCTCTCCCATTCCTGCCCTGATGGCCAGGGATTGGCTGATACCAGGTCACATTTGGGATTTTACACTGTTTTAAATACATTTAATGATTACAGTGCTCCATCATTTGTGTTTCTATCTGCCTGGAGTTCAGAGTTAAAGTGTATGTCTAGTTTTTGATGGAGCGGGGGAAGGGTTAGAACCCCTTGGGCCGGACATGGGCCGGAGGACATGAGCCGAAGGACACAGTGGGAGGACATGGGCCGGAGGACACAGTGGGAGGACATCGGCCGGAGGGACACAGTGGGAGGACATCGGCCGGAGAACATGAGCTGGAGGACACAGTGGGAGGACACAGTGGGAGGACATGGGCTGGAGGACACAGTGGGAGGACATGGGCCGGAGGACATGGGCCGGAGGACACAGTGGGAGGACATGGGCCGGAGGACACAGTGGGAGGACATGGGCCGGAGGACGCAGTGGGAGGACACGGGCCGGAGGACGCAGTGGGAGGACACCGGTCGGAGGACACAGTGGGAGGACATCGGTCGGAGGACACAGTGGGAGGACATCGGCCCGGAGGACACAGTGGGAGGACATGGGCCGGAGGACACAGTGGGAGAACATGAGCCGGAGAACATGGGCTGGAGGACACAGTGGGAGGACATGAGCCGGAGGACACAGTGGGAGGACATGGGCCGGAGGACACAGTGGGAGGACATGGGCCGGAAGACACAGTGGGAGGACATCGGCCGGAGGACACAGTGGGAGGACATGGGCTGGAGGACACAGTGGGAGAACATGAGCCGGAGAACATGAGCTGGAGGACACAGTGGGAGGACACAGTGGGAGGACATGGGCTGGAGGACACAGTGGGAGGACATGGGCCGGAGGACATGAGCCGGAGGACACAGTGGGAGGACATGGGCCGGAGGACACAGTGGGAGGACACGGGCCGGAAGACACAGTGGGAGGACACGGGCCGGAGGACACAGTGGGAGCACACGTGCCGGAGGACACAGTGGGAGGACACGGGCCGGAGGACACATTGGGAGGACACGGGCCGGAGGACACAGTGGGAGGACACGGGCCGGAGGACACAGTGGGAGGACACGGGCCGGAGGACACAGTGGGAGGACACGGGCCGGAGGACACAGTGGGAGGACGGGCTCGAGGACACAGTGGGAGGACATGGGCAGGAGGACACAGTGGGAGGACATGGGCCGGAGGACACAGTGGGAGGACATGGGCCGGCCAGGAAGGTTAAAGCAGAACTCCAGTCAATAATAACACGATAGAAATGAACAGCCCTGGTAAAGGATGAAAGAACCAAACCAGCTGTTGCTGCAACATTCACCTTCTATCCAGAGATTTCCCCTGCAGTACTTTTTTTCTGCCACTACATGTCCTTAGGTCAGATCATCCCGGACCAGCTCCCACCCTGTGACTGAACAGTGAAAAGAAAAGCAGCACAACGATGAGCGTATCTCTCAGTGACTCTGCTCTCTGTGCCTATTAGTATATGAACCGATTGGCTCCTTGTGCTGCTTCTTCCTCTCCCATTCCTGCCCTGATGGCCAGGGATTGGCTGATACCAGGTCACATTTGGGATTTTACACTGTTTTAAATACATTTAATGATTACAGAGCTCCATCATTTGTGTTTCTATCTGCCTGGAGTTCAGAGTTAAAGTGTATGTCTAGTTTTTGATGGAGCGGGGAAGGGTTAGAACCCCTGTTGGGTTATTTTTTGCTGCCTGCTTAAGCTGAGATGGCTGAAGATGTGAAATGACTGAGGACGTGGGGCCCATAATATGGTGCCCGCCTCCCCCACCCTGTTTAGGGATGCATGTTTAGATGGCCTCCTTTTACACCTCTTATGAGCTTAAGCCGGATTCTCAACTGAGATGTTTGATCCCCCCCCCCCCCCCCCCAACCCAAGAATGTCAAGATCGCCCACAACAGCCAATCAGATATCTTCATTTTCAAAAGCCGGAAGCTCATTGGTTGTTCAGAGCAGCACGGCAAATTCTTCTTTCAGACACATTTATTCACTGTAACGTCTGCCGTTCTTCTCTCTTATCTATAATTTGTCGGGTAGTAAACATCCTTTTTACCTGCGACGGATGTAGAGGGGGGGCTGGGGGTCCCATATCCGTAATCGTTGACGGCAATGACGCGGAAGTCGTAGCTGACGCCCTGCTTCAGGATGTCTATGTTGAAGGTGTAGGACGTGGCCTCCTTTGGGATGTCCTTGATGAGAATGTCCCACAATCCTTCATCTTAGCAGAGGAGAGACAACATCAGTTTAATATTCTCATAATAAAAAAAACAAAGTGCACCTGTAGATAGTCAGCTTGTTGGCCAAGATAAAATAGTCAGGCACAGGGGCGGACTGACAACTCATGGGGCCCCCAGGCAATAGGGGATCATAGGGCCCCTGTGTCCTCGCCCACACTCAAAAAAGCCTATGAAAAAGGTACCAGGGGCATCTTATGGGGCCCCCTACTGACCCCGGGCCCTCGGGCAGTGCCTGAGTTTCCAAATGGTCAGTCCGCCCCTGGTCAGGCATGAACCCTGCTACTATCTCCTAATGATCCAGTAGGCTGATTTCTCAGAAAGATATGTCTACCCAATGCCAGGCAGGACATTTTACTGGGTCGATTTCCTCATCATTTCCATCTAGTGGCCATAATCGGTATTCTCCTGATTGAGGTGTTACAGGGAACAAAATATGCAACATGACCACTAGTTGAGGCTGATGATCATAAGAAATCCAAAGCGCGAGGGTCCCCCATTCACTTCATATCCAATCTGCTCCACTGTGCACTATATAGCTGTACAATCCAAAGGCGATTGTACAGAGTGTAATATCTGTGCTCGACTTTGGTAGAAGACGGTCGTCATGTCGGCGGCACGCTTTACTTTTCCTAAAGGTTTGGCTGAAAAATACACGAGAGCCCTCTGATTGATAAAGAGCTACATTCATTATAAGACCTACAAGGTGGTACGCAAAGGTTTCCAGACAAGTTTTGTAACACGCCAACAGATGGCAGCACGGGGCTGCACACACTGGCACAGGGAGCACCAACCTTCATAAGTCAGTGTGCCAAAAGACATCGTCTTGTGTACATCTGATGCTATTCTGAGTTACCACGTCTGCTATTTCATCATGGACAGTCAGAACAAAGTGCAAACGTGAAATTCGGTGTCTCTGCCACAGAGAGGCCTGACATGATTTGGAAAGTTTACGGCGATGATGCAATGAGTCATTGGAGGTGTTTTGAGCGGCACGTGTGCTTCAATAGCGGATGAACATCACTGCAAGACGACGAGATTAGAAGACCTTCAAGGAGCTCAACCCTCAAAAATGCCCTCTTCCCAAAGATGAAAATCCACTTTGACAACATGGCGGAGGTCCAGCGATTTGCCCAGTTTCATGCAGAATTTCACATTTGCTTTTTGTTCTATCTACGTTGAAATAGCACTTGGTAAGAATAGCTCCAGTTGCACAGCTCCCGATGCACACAGGATGGTGTCTTTTGACACACTGACTTATGAAGGTCGGTGCTCCCTGTGACCATGCATCCTTGTGCTGCCATCTGTTGGCATGTTACAAAACTAGCCTTGAAACATTTGGATACCACCTCGTACTGTGTGCTAAGAACAAGAAACTGCATATAAGTTGTGGGCCTACCTGAAGGCCGGGCCTCTATGACGTATCTGGTGATCGGACTCCTTCCTGGATCTCCACTTGACCATTGGATGGCGATTAATGAGCCGTACCGGGAGATGGACGGCACTCCTGGTGGTCCTGGTGCTCCTGGAAGAAAACCATAAAGAAAATCGATAAAACCAGCTGAATAATTTCGGTCAATGGTACTATATGTGGAAGCCGTAGGTGGAAGCTCTTCATTCTTTGGGTTATCACAGTCTGTAGGGGTTTCTATGATCAATCGCCTGACCAAGAAGGACTGGAATCTATCCAACTGGATGGAATGGAGACCTACACACACCTCAAAGCACAAGGAGTGATAGGACCACTGTCTACAGAGCTGTTGGAGTCATTGCTTTGCCGAAGGAAGGAAGGAAGGGGGTATGCAGGGGAGAGGAAGGCAGGGAAGATGGAAGGAAGGAAGGGAGGAAAGGTGGGAAGGAGGGAAGAAAAGAAGGAAGGACGATGGGTAGCAAGAAAAGAAAGGATATATGGAAAGAAGGTAGGTAGAAAGGAAACTCGTTTGTGCTGGAGAACACGCTGGACTGACAGGATCAGTTGCTGGTTGTGGGTTGGGTGGGCAAGGAAAGGATGGAGTTCCTGCTGCAGGCTCTGCCCAGTATTCAATAATGGAGATGAAACCTTTGGGCTGCTGCCTATTTTGGCACGGCCTTATGGTTGTTTTCACGTTTAGACTTGGAAATGTAGGAAGGAAGGAGCACTCAGCGTCCCCCAAAAAATTCTAATTAGAAGATAGGTTAAAAGGTGTTACTGAAAGTAGCGGCAAGTACATCGAGCCAACGCGTTTTGGAGGAAGGACTCCCCCCCCTTCTTCAGGGCCATCGAGCAAACGTGAAAAAAAAAACACAGTAAACATATGTAAACACGAGGTGCCGGAGCAAAAATGTGAAGGATATTATCAAAAATGTTATAGTGCTATAGAGAATTCTAAAAATCATAGAAATAATGACCAATAATAAAAAAACATGAAAAAATTAGCGATGCACCGATATAACGGCCGCCGAAAATTATTGGCTGAAAATAGAGTTATCGCTGTTTTGCTGATAGGAAAAAAAGACGCCGATAATGATAATTGACTTCATTGCAAAATCGGCCCTTATTGACTTCAGTGCAAAAACTCCCCCTATTGACCTCAATGCAAAATCGCCTCCTATTGACTTTGATGCAAAAACTCCCCCTAATGACTTCAATGCAAAATCGCCTCCTATTGACTTCAATGCAAAAACTCCCCCTGTTGGCTTCAATGCAAAATCGCCCCTTTTTGACTTCTATGCAAAAACTCCCCCTATTGACTTCAATGCAAAAACTCCCCCTATTGACTTCAATGCAAAATTGACCCCCTATTGACTTCAATGCAAAATTGCATGTGGGGAAGGAATGTGGTAAGTAAAGGAAATAAATAAAGAAGCGAAAGTAGGAGGGAAGAAAAGAAGGAAGGACAACAAGCGGGAAAGAAAAAAAAGAATATACACAGAGAAGGTAGGTAGAAAGAAAAAGGAAGGGTGGTAAGGAAGGTCGAGAGAAAAAGGAAGGAGAGGATTGAAGGGAGGAAATGAAGGAGGGAAGAAAGGAAAGTCGGCACGGAAGGGAGGGAAGAGGGGAAGGATGGGAAAGAATGTGAGAAGTAAAAGAAAGATTTGTTAAGAAAGGAAAGGAAAAGAGGGATGAAAGGTTGGAGGTAAAGGATGGATGGAAGGAAAAGGAGGAGGAAAGGAGAGGATGGAAAGTACAAAACGATGGACGGAAGGTAGGAGGGAAAAATTAAGATAACACTGTTCAACAAATTTTTATTTTTTGCCAGTTTTGGAAACAAAAGGATCCATTTCTTAATGAATTTCACATTCTGAGTTCAAATATAACAACGAAATTTGTCAATTGGCTCTAGTTTTTCTGTAAACGGAAAGTTTTCTACTATAGGCGTAATGACTACATAATGCACAATAATTATATAGATAGATGTCTTTCCACAAATATAAAGCAAGTGATATTGATACATAACAAAGCCTAAATGGCATAATATATTGCATAGGATTACCAAGAACAATGATAGCCATAAGCTAAGTTGAATCATTTTAATACTTAGGATTCTCACTAGTTTTGTCTTCAGTTTGTGTCGGTTTTGCTTCTCTTGGCTTTTCTCTTGTATTCGAGGAAAGGGCTATCTCTTACAACTGCACGTGACTACATGCTTCAGGTTCTTCCTCACTTGACTCAACCACGAAGGATTCTGGTGCTTTAGGAATTGGTAGCCCCTCTCCATGAGGAACTGGACGTATTGCCGATGGAATATTTGGATAGTGCACAGATAACTTTTTCTTCTTATTTAGCCCTTTTACAATTGGAGGCACCATACAAAAGTAACAATTACTAACATGATCTGTTGGCTCTCTCCAAATCATTGGCACAGCGAAAGGCATAGATGCCTTTTTTCCATTCAACCATTGCTCCAGTGCCGTCCCACAAGAATTGCAGCATATATGTGGTGCCCAGCTCTTGTCCTGGTCTCCTATCTTGCAGCCAAAATACAAGTTGTAGGCTTTCTTAATCATTCCTGTTATCCTCCTTTTTTGTGAGATAAAAGTTATTTCACCGCAGATATAGCAGAAATTATCTGCTTTATTCACACAAGTTCGAGGCATTACTGAGTAGCCTATAGAAGCAGAAAACGAAATGTAAAGACGAACTCCAATCAGCTACAGATACTGCAGCTTTTATGCAGTGAAGTGATGCAATTAAAGGCTAATATTGCATCATCTCAGTATACATGACATTTCTATTGGTCACCAGTATCAATTGCGCAATATGCAGCTGAAGTTGCATCATAATTTTGAATGGCTTACGTCATTAGATGGGTGAATATATCATGGAAACTAGAGCCAATCAACATTTTTTAGGGTCATTTTCGTTTTCAGCACCCCAAAAATTATGTAAGATTAGCTAATTTTATGCCCAAAACTTTTTACCTGTTGAACAGTGTAAGAGAAGGAAGAGAGAGGAGAAAAGGAAGGAAGACAAAGAAGGAAGAGAAGGAAAGAAAAAGAATGACAGAAGAGAAGGAAGAGAAATAAGGAAAGAAAGAAGAGAAAGGAGAAAAGAAAGGAAGGAAGAGAAGGAAAGAAAGAAAAAGAAGGATGGAAGATAAGGAAGGAAGGGAAAGTCAGGAAGAAAGAAGGAAGAGAAGGAAAGAAAAAGGATGGATAATAAGGAAGGAAGTTGGAAGGAAAGGAAGAAAGGGTAGAAGTAAAGGAAGGATGGAGGAAATGAAGGTGGGAAGGAATGCTGAGAAATAAAGAATAAAAAAAAGGAATGGAAGAACAGAATATGGGAAGGAAGGCTGCAAAGAAAGGAAGTGTAGGATGAAAAAGAAGGTCAAGAGAAAAAGGAAAGGATTGAAGGAAGGAAATGAAGGAGGGAAGAAAGGAAACGTGGGACAGAAGGGAGGGAAGTGGAAGGATGGGAAAGAACGTGAGAAGTAAAAGAAAGATTTGTTAAGAAATGAAAGGAAAAGAGGGAAGAAAGTTTGGAGGTAAAGGATGGATGGAAGAAAAAGGAGGAGGAAAGGAGAGGATGAAAGAGTGAGAAAGAAAGGAAGAAGGGAAGAAAATATAAAACAAAATGATGGAAGGAAGGTAAGAGGGAAGAAATTAAATTAGGAAGGGAAGGAAGAGAAAAGAGAAAAGGAAGAAGGAAGAGAAGGAAAGAAAGATAAGGAAAGGAGGACGGAAGATAAGGAAGGAAGTTGGGACGGAAAGGAAGGATGGAAGAAAGGTAGGAAGGAAGGAATAAACAAAGATGGGAAGGAATGGTGAGAAACAAAAAAAAAGGAAGGAAAGGAACAAAGGAACATTGGAAGGGAGGGTGGAAAGAAAGGAAGAAGTGTAGGATGAAAAGGAAGGGTGGTAAGGAAGGTCGAGAGAAAGATGAAGGAGAGGATTGAAGGGAGGAAATGAAGGAGGGAAGAAAGGAAAGGAGGGAAGAAAGGTAAGGAGGGACAGAAGGGAGGGAAGTGGGGAAGGATGGGAAAGAATGTGAGAAGTAAAAGAAAGATTTGTTAAGAAAGGAAAGGAGGGATGAAAGGTTGGAGGTAAAGGATGGATGGAAGGAAAAGGAGGAGGAAAGGAGAGGATGGAAGGGGTGAGAAGGAAAGGAAAAAGGGAAGAAAGGATAGAAAGTACAAAATGATGGAAGGAAGGTAGGAGGGAAAAATTAAGATAAGAGAAGGAAGAGAAAGGAGAAAAGGAAGGAAGACAAAGAAGGAAGAGAAGGAAAGAAAAAGAAGGACGGAAGATAAGGAAGAGAATATAAGGAAAGAAAGAAGAGAGAAAAAGAAGAACAGAGGATAAGGAAGGAAGTTGGGAAGGAAAGGAAGAAAGGGTAGAAGGAAAGGAAAAAGATGGAAGAAACAAAGGAAGGTGGGAAGTAATGGTGAGAAATTAAGAAACAAAAAAGGAAAGGAAGTAAGGAATATGAGAAGAAAGGTCGGAAAGAAAGGAAGAAGTGTGGGATGAAAAGGAAGGGAGGTAAGGAAGGCAATAAGCCTTCCCATTGTTCTGCCTTCCTCTCAGAAAGGCAAAGTTCCATTGTAAAGGTACAACAATTGTCTGACTACCCGGAGGATTCCTCGCCATGCGCAGCATCACACTTGTGTACGATAAGTTACATTTCTATTATACAATGAAGGGCTCGGCTATCAGTCGCACCCCTTCCAGATCTCATGCTGTGAAAGACGTTTACCATCGGCAGGTCCGGTGGTCACATTGGCTTCCAAGTCCGGCCCATAGATGAAGGTTTTGGCTCGTATCCGGAAGCGGTAGGTCACTCCCTCGGCCAGGTCCTTCAGTTTCATCCACAGGGGGTTGTTCCCCTTCACATCCACCGTCACTATCTTACTGATTCCTGAGGGAGAAGTATCAGAAATACAAACATTCACTCATCTCTAGGTAGTGCAAAGATGGCGTCATCAAAGCGGTCCAATCCCGCCTTCGTTCAGGAAGAGTCAGAACAAGGAAAAGTACATTCTGATTGGCTGGTAAGGTATCCTGCACATTGCCAGTGCCTCTCGCTCTCCCTGTACATCCCATAATGCAACTATGGCACCTTATGGTCTTGCTGAGCAGTAGAAGAAGGGGCCTCTATGGCCTCTATGTATTTGCATGACATATGGCTGCACAGCGGAGGGACATCGATAATTCTCGGCACATTATTCACAGTTAATTCTAAACCAATGACCCGAAGGGGCTTTTAAAGCGCCACCTATGGGAGAAATAGGGTACCGAAATTCTTTTTTGTTTTGTACTGAAATTTTGCTTTCCATAAACCGCTGTGCTAATATCATGTGACATACAAACATTGGAACTACTGACAATTTATTCTCCATAGCTTGTAATAATTTTTTTTTTGTTGGGGGGGAGCTAACATTTTTTTTTTTTATATATATAACGTGTGCAAAAAAAAAAAAAATAGCAAAAACAGCCCTGGCAGTGAAGGGGTTAAATAGTGCCACGACTGGAAAAAAAGATTGGGAAACGGTGCACTAGACTCCACCTGCAACTGAAATATCACATTTGGGGGTAATTAAATCTGTATGTCAAGCAGTTTCCAATGGCTGTAACCATCTGAGGATGAACCGCTTGTCAGCTTTGCTGAAAAATCTGAAGGGTCCTAAGATTTTAATTAAACCCGTGTGATGCAGCTACTTTGGCGCAGACATTTGTTCTGCTTTATCTGTCGTAGAGCCCATAGAACTCTGGCATGGAAACCGCCCCCCTGGGGCTCCGACTCGCCTTCTTCTGCCAGAAGCTACGACCTCAAGAAAACTCTTCTGTGAACGGCCAGAGACCTGAAATCCCTCCATTTCCCTGATTTTCTCAAAAAAAAAAGTGGACCGACAGAAATGGACTCCCCAAAATCTGACTTTTCAAGGTATCCCCGGGGCAACTGGAAAAAAGCCGGACTTACCATCGACTGGGGTGCAGGGCTCATAAACCAGCCGGTACCCCTCCAGAATTCCATTGGGGTACACAGGGGCGTCCCAGGACACGTTCACAGAGGTGGTGGTCAGTTCGCTGAACCGAATGGACGCCGGGGCGCTGGGAGCTGCAAAAATAAAAAAATTAGTTTTTGACTTCCTACTTATTTATGCTTCAGGCCAAACTGGAGGTGCGGGTAGATGGGAAGTGGCTGAAAGAGGTGGGAGGAGATCAGCAGCGCTTTTACAAAACCTACACCTGAACTACAGGCAGGCAGTTGGGTACATAGACGACGTACCGACAAAGGCGGTGCAATTCTGTCCATCCAGTTCTAAGATTTACACTGCTCTGCCACAAAGCCTTGTCTGGCAGGACTGGAGACCTGTTTGTTGCAATTGTGTAACACTTACAGGTCTTGTTCCACAGCCTGTTAAAGGAGAAGCAGCAGACTGATGAGGACAACTCTGTCACTCTGTTCTCTCCTCCAGTCAGCATGTCCCTGGCCTAAAAACATGACCACATCAGCACAACTGGCTGGCTCCTATGCCACCAACTGACGCCATCGATGGGGCGCTATGCCACCAACTGACGCCATCAAATAGGTGCTATGCCACCAACTGACACCATCGACGGGGCACTATGCGCCAAATGACACTATTGATGGGACACTATTCCTCCCACTGACACCAATGATGAGACACTATCCCAGCAACTGACACCATGGATGGGGCACTATGCCGCCAACTGACGCCATCGATGGGGCACTATGCTGCCAGCTGACACCATGGATGGGGCACTATGCCGCCAACTGACACCATCGATGGGGCACTATGCTGCCAACTGACACCATCGATGGGGCACGATTTCTCTCTCTGACACCAATGATGGGACACTATTCCACCAAATAACACCATCAATGAGGCATTATGCCACCAACTGACACCATCGATGGGGCAATCTTACACCAACTGACGCCATTGATGGGACGCTATGCCACCAACTGACGCCATCGATGGAGTGCTATGCCACCAGCTGATGCCATTGACGGGGCGCTGTGCCACCAACTGACACCACTGAAGGGGGCACAGCACTTTCTCCACTGGTCACTCTCCGCCCCCCCTAGAGTCTGAAGGTCCATAAGTTGACCAATTACTCAGAAAGTTTGGAGATCCCTGTTCTGAAGGAGACACGCAGATGTCTACAGGAGCCCTTCACTATTGAAATCTTGAGCTAAAGTGGACCTGTTGTTGCATTAATTAGAATAATGTCATAGCTGGCAATGGAGGGCTTTGCTTCTGCTCCGGGGTTCCGTTTCTGTAGCATTTCTCCTGCTTTCTCTGTTTTCAGGCATGAGCTGATAAAATCAGAGTTGCTGTGGCAACAAGTATATTTCCCTTAAGAACAATTTTTTTTTTTTCACAGTAACATCTCAAGTTCATGAAACTGTGACCATTGTTCTCATAAGACCTGAACAAAGAAGTCACGTTATGGATTTTACTGGGTTTTCTCACTTCTCTTTTTGTGTTTTTCTATAGCTGCTCTGTTATTTTTTCGTGGTTGGGTCACTGTGAGGACACCAACAGAGCGGATTGACAGCCGCACTCATGTCCCATCACACCTGTCGCGGCTTTCTGTAAATTCCTTCACTGCGTCTCGTCTGGTAATCACCGCTGGGCAAACTGTGTAAGCGCTCAGAAATGTCACCGGACCAGTATATCCTCCAAGGATTGTGTGTTCCAACAACGCTGAGAAAAACTGGATCACATGGCCAGGACTGCGGGCAATTCTCACCACACATGTGGTTTTCACTCCAAAGCTTCAAAAGGTTACAAAGGGTCAAAACCTGCAAGTGGTGGAGTCAGGCTGTGGGAAAAAAGTAGAATGTGGGGGTGCATCACTAGAGGGGTCACTGGCAAAATAAAGGAGGTCCTGATTCCTCTATATAGATCTTTATATCATTAGAGGGGTCACCGGAAGGAGGTCCCGATTCCTCTATATAGATCTTTATATCATTTAGAGGGGTCATCGGCAGGAGGTTCTGACTCCTCTATATAGATCCTTATATCACTAGAGGGGTCACCGGCAGGAGGAAGGAGGTCCTGATTCCTCTATATAGATCTTTATATCACTAGAGGGGTCACCGGCAGGAGGAAGGAGGTCCTGATTCCTCTATATAGATCTTTATATCACTAGAGGGGTCACCGGCAGGAGGAAGGAGGTCTCGATTCCTCTATTTAGATCTTTATATCACTAGAGGGGTCACCGGCAGGAGGAAGAAGGTCCTGATTCCTCTATATAGATCTATCACTAGAGGGGTCACCGGCAGGAGGAAGGAGTCCAGATTCCTCTATATAGATCTTTATATCACTAGAGGGGTCACCGGCGGGAGGAAGGAGGTCCCAATTCCTCTATATAGATCTTTATATCACTAGAGGGGTCATCAGCAGGAGGAAGGAGGTCCTGATTCCTCTATATAGATCCTATCACTAGAGGGGTCACCGGCAGGAAGAAGGAGGTCCCGATTCCTCTATATAGATCTTTATATCACTAGAGGGGTCACCAGCAGGAGGAAGGAGGTCCCGATTCCTCTATATAGATCTTTATATCACTAGAGGGGTCACCAGCAGGAGGAAGGAGGTCCCGATTCCTCTATATAGATCTTTATATCATTAGAGGGGTCATCGGCAGGAGGTTATGACTCCTCTATATAGATCCTTATATCACTAGAGGGGTCACCGGCAGGAGGTCCTGATTCCTCTATATAGATCTTTATATCACTAGAGGGGTCACCGGCAGGAGGAAGGAGGTATTGATTCCTCTACAATAGATCTAGATAGATGAGGATAGACCTCATTAAGAATACTATGTGCAGTTACAGAGACGTCACCTACAATAAGACAGAACAAGTCTAGAGATTTACCTAAATCCATGGTCATGCAGTCTTTCAGTCCACCAGTTCCTGTCGTGACACCTGGTCCTCACCTTTTCCAGCTGGTGTCCTATTGATCTTGTTGCCAACCCTCACGGATATCATTATGTACAATGCATTGCACATGACAACACAGGTGTGAATGGCCACATTTAGGCACTGGAGAGTGGAGGAACGGCCATCCGGCTGCTGCTGGCTGCCAACTGCAGCTTTCCATTTTGTCTAAGCAACTGCGGATGGTGCCTTGGCAACAGGAGCCCTGGACCAGTCGGCGCTCAGACAAGTCCTGCACCCAATGCAAACCCTTCCGTTGTGCAGCCATCAAGATAAACAACTCTAAATGGGATAAACGAGCGGGTGTCAGCGGGTGTCAGAGCGTATGAGGCTCACAGACTTTTCCTCTTAGCGGCGAGCAGTTTGCGGAAATGTGACTAATGTGACATGGCAATCTCGGGGCACGGTGATGGCTGCAACATTTCGCTTTAGGGGGAGACTCGCTGCTCTGAGGGAGCCAAGAGACATGGCTGGGATTACGCAACACTCTCAGGAATTCAGCCCTTTCCAGATGGACGAGGATGGAGTGCGGAACCGGGAAGGATTAGTGAAGGAAAGCGATAATAGTTATGGGTCAATTTTAACTCAAATATCTATAAAAATGCACACCACCCTATAGCAAGGCAATGCAACAGATACGTCACACTCTCTTTTTCTCTCTCTCTCTCTCTCTTTCTGTTTTACTTATTTTCTCTCTTTCCTTTTCTTTGTTTTTCTCTCCTTTTATATATACATACAGAGCATCCAGAAAGAATTCCCAGAGCTTCACTTTTGCCACATTTTGTTATATTACAGCCTTATTCCAAAATGGATTAAATTAATTTTTTTCCTCCACATTCTACAAACAATACCCCATAATGACAACCGGAAAGAAGTTCATTTTAAATCTTTGCAATTTATTAAAAATAGAAAACCAAAAAAACCCCCATGTACACTCAAAATTGAGCTCTGGTGCATCCTGTTCCCACTGACCCTCTTTGAGATGTTCCCATAACTTGATTGGAGTACGCCTGTGGGACATTCAGTTGATTGGAGTCCACCTGTGGGACATTCAGTTAATTGGAGTCCACCTGTGGGACATTCAGTTGATTGGAGTCCCCCTGTGGGACATTCAGTTAATTGGAGTCCACCTGTGGGACATTCAGTTAATTGGAGTCCACCTGTGGGACATTCAGTTGATTGGAGTCCATCTGTGGGACATTCAGTTGATTGGAGTAGACCTGTGGGCAGGGGCGGACTGACAACTCATGGGGCCCCCAGGCAATAGGGGATCATGGGGCCCCTGTGTCCTTGCCCAAACTCAAAAAAAGCCTATCAAAAAGGTACCAGGGGCATCTCATGGGGCCCCCTACTAACCCCGGGCCCTCGGGCAGTGCCCGAGTTTCCAAATGGTCAGTCTGCCCCTGCCTGTGGGACATTCAGTTGATTGGAGTCCATCTGTGGGACATTCAGTTGATTGGAGTAGACCTGTGGGCAGGGGCGGACTGACAACTCATGGGGCCCCCGGGCAATAGGGCCCGTGTCCTTGCCCAAACTCAAAAAAATCCTATCAAAAAGGTACCAGGGGCATCTCATGGGGCCCCCTACTGACCCCGGGCCCTCGGGCAGTGCCCGAGTTTCCAAATGGTCAGTCCGCTCCTGCCTGTGGGACATTCAGTTGATTGGAGTCCATCTGTGGGACATTCAGTTGATTGGAGTACACCTGTGGCACATTCAGTGGATTGGAGTCCACCTGTGGGACATTCAGTGGATTGGAGTCCACCTGTGGGACATTCAGTGGATTGGAGTACACCTGTGGGACATTCAGTGGATTGGAGTACACCTGTGGGACATTCAGTGGATTGGAGTACACCTGTGGGACTTTCAGTTGATTGGAGTACATCTGTGGGACATTCAGTTGATTGGAGTCCACCTGTAGGACATTCAGTTGATTGGACATGATTAGGAAAGGCATACACCTGTCTATAGAAGTCCCACAGGTAACAGTGCATGTCAGAGCACAAACCAAGCCATGAAGTCCAAGGAATTGTCCGTAGACCTCTGAGACAGGATTGTATCAAGGCACAGATCTGGGGAAGGGTCCAGAAACATTTCTGCAGCATTGAAGGTCCCAATGAGCACAGTGGCCTCCATCATCTGTAAATGGAAGAAGTTTGGAACCACCAGGAATCTTTCTAGAGCGGGCCTCTCAGCCAAAATGAGCGATCGAGAGAGAAGGGCCTTAGCCAGGGAGGTAACCGAGCACCTGATGGTCACTCTGAAAGAGCTCCAGCTTTCTCTGTGAGAGAGTAGAATCTTCCAGAAGAACAACCATCTCTGCAGCACTCCACCAATCAGGCCTGTTTGGAAGAGTGGCCAGACAGAAGCCACTCCTCAGTAAAAGGCACATGGCAGTCCATTTGGAGTTTGCCAAAAGGCACCTGAGGGACTCTCAGACCATGAGAAACAAAACTCTCTGGTCTGATGAAACAAAGATTGAACTCTTTGGCCTGAATACCAAGAGTCATGTCTGGAGGAAACCAGGCACCGCTCACCACCTAGCCAATACCATCCCTACAGCGAAGCATGGTGGCGGCAGCATCATGCTGTGGGGATGTTTTTCAGCAGCAGGAAGACTAATCAGGATGGAAGGAAAGATGAATGCAGCAATGTACAGAGGCATCCTTGATGAAAACCTGTTCCCGAGTGCTCTGGACCTTAGACTGGGGCGATGGTTCATCTTCCAACAGGACAACGACCCTCAGCACACGGCCCACATCACAAAGGAGTGGCTATGGGCCAACTCTGTGAATGTCCTGGAGTGGCCCAGCCAGAGCCCAGACTTGAACCTGATTGAACATCTCTGGAGAGATCTGAAAATGGCTGTGCACCGACCCCAGGCAACCTGATGGAGCTGGAGAGGTACTGCAAAGAAGAATGGGAGAAATTGCCCCAAAGAAGGTATATTTCCATGAAATATAGGGTAACACATGGACCATTCAAACTTTTTTGTAAACACATGCAATGTATACTTTACAATGATCAGTGATGTATCATGGCAACTACTTACCAGCTTGTTGTGTCTGGCCGCGGATGGGCTGGCTGCGGGGGCCATCTCCGGCCGTGTTAAATGCTGCCACGCTGATCAGATAGTTGGTGTACCCCGTCAGGTTTTTGAGCTTTACCCCACTCTCCGGAAGAAACAACGTCCTCACTTTCTCAGTCTCGTTCTTCCGTGCAGCTTCCCAGAAGTAGATCTGGAAGAACCAAAAAAATTCAGTTTCAGGGTGTCTGATCATGACAATGGGGGGCCCCAAGACCCTCCATGGCAGAACATTATCATCAGAGTATATGGAGTACCTCTACTCCATAAAGGAAGAGGTGCCCTTGCAGGGAGATCTTACACAAGGGTTTGCCTGTCTGATCATGAGCCTAGGACTGCAAGGGTGCTCCTTACGGCTGCTTCAAATCAGCCTAATTTGGATTCTCAGTCCTTCTCTCGGGCCTCACCTCTCGATCTTTATTTAAATTTTCAACTGGTTTGAAAAACATGTTGATAATTAAATATGAAAAGTGTCACAGTCAAATAATGGTAAACTTCCCCTCCCTTCTCCAAGCCCCCATATTCTGAGGACATCCAACGGTTTTAAAGGACCAGCAGGGCCAAGCTCGACTTTTACAGGAAAAGTCAACATTTGCATACAACCTAAGCAGCACTTTCCACCAAATATCTTTACTTATCCATTTTTTTTTTGAAATGCTGATTGAATTTGCCAGATTGGTGTACCTCCTATAAAGCAAACCCATGCTTTGGTCATGTAGGCATAAGGAACAAGGAACCTACCAGTAATTTATACACCCCACCCCCTTCGATTCCTCATCAATAGGCCAGCAAGGAGCGAAAAATCTCTGGTACTTAGTGGCTAGGCAGGGGCTTTTTTTTTTCCATCGGGAACACAGGGCAATGCACTGAATGTATGTAATAGCAAGGGTTGGTGGGGTGTGCTGGAGGGTCTTTTGTCCTGGAAGGGGGGGGGGTCTATTATATTGGGGAGGTCTACTGTTGGTGGGGAAATTGCATATTTCATACTTCCTTATCAAAATTGTCTCACAATATCTAAGAAAGCCTCCAAATCCTGGTTAGCGGGAAATATAAGGTCATAAGTATGGCTTTACCTTAGCTGACTTCATACTAAAGGAATGTCATTGTTAACTGACCAGGATGTGGCTGAGCCCTCTTTCTTCTTTATGATTGGTCATTTCATACTAGTTCTGTGTATACTACAGCTAGAGCTTGGAATATTCAGTCTCATATTAGACCTGCTATCATGCATGCGGGTGTGTTCATCTGTGCCACGCCGGGCAAGCGGGCGGAGCTCCGTGGCAAACCAGCATCTTTAGTTGTCTCATTATGTTTTCTAACATTATTTGTTATCTGTATCTGTCATTACTTAATGAAATGTGATAAGTGCTTGTGTGGTCCCTTGGCACATCTCCAATACAAGCCCAAAAACGTAGACTTTCACGTATCCGTGCTAAAATAACGGTTTCGGATGGGGGATCTATTGTTGCTTGGGGATGGGTCAGTTGTTACTGGGGGAGGGGTGAATTTTTGCTGGGAGAGATCTACTGTTGAGGGAGGGGTCTATTGTTGCTGGGGGAGGGGGTCAACTGTTGCTGGAAAAGATCTACTGTTGAGGTAGCAGTCAATTGTTACTGTGGGAGGGGTCAATTGTTGTTGGGAAAGATCTACTGTTGAGGGAGGGGTCTGTTGTTACTGGGGGAGAGGGTCAATTGTTCCTGAGAGAGATCTACTGTTGAAGAAGGAATTAATTGTTACTGTGGGAGGGGTCAGTTGTTGCTGGGAAAGATCTACTGCTAAGGAAGGGATCTATTTTTGCTGGGGGAGGGGTCAACTGTTGCTGGAAACGAGGAGTGACTCGGGGGAAGGTTGGGTGGGTAGCAGGTGGAACCAATGAACAATGCTCGGAGATAAGTAGGGAGTGGAGATGAGGAGTGACAAGGCAGAGTGGGTAGCAGGTGGAACCAATGGACAATGCTCGGAGATAAGTAGGGAGTGGAGATGAGGAGTGACAAGGCAGAAGGTGGGGTGGGTAGCAGGTGGAACCAATGGACAATGCTCGGAGATAAGTAGGAGGTGGAGATGAGGAGTGACTTGGCAGAAGGTGGGGTGAGTAGCATGTGGAACCAATGGACAATGCTCAGAGGTAAGTAGGGGGTGGAGATGAGGAGTGACTCGGCAAAAGGTGGGGTGGTTAGCCAGTTGAACCAATGGACAATGCTCAGAGTTGATTTGGGGGTGGAGACGTGGAGTGGCTCGGCGGGTGGAACCAATGGACAATGCTCGGAGGTAAGTAGGGAGTGGAGATGAGGAGTGACTCAGCAGAAGGTGGGGTGGGTAGTATGTGGAACCAATGGACAATGCTCAGAGGTGAGTAGGGGGTGGAGACATGGAGTGGTTCGGCTGAAGGTGTGGTAGCTAGCGGGTGGAACCAATGGACAGTGCTTGGAGGTAAGTAGAGGGTGGAGACGAGTAGTGACTCGGCAGAAGGTGGGGGGGTAGTACCTGCACCTATTCTCTGAGAAACAAAGCCCTGGTAGTAGGGTGGTGCTTTGCTGCTCAGTCACCCAGCGAAGGTTGGGAACGAATACTTGACCCGTGTAAGCTCCAGGTCCTGACATGGAGCTTGCACAAAGCTTCCACCCCCTTGTTCCCCAAACAAATGGAGCAACAATGGAGCAAAGGGATACACTGCTGCAAAGGGGTTCAAGTGAACATATACACTGTTTGTCCCCATGAGCTTGATATATTTTTTTTTTCTTGAAAGAGCACCCAACTTCTACAAAAGAGGAACTAGGAGGCTTTCTATATTGTCTAATTATCACGAAATGTCTCGCCCTTTCTTAATCAGAAAAATAAATACTCGTGATTTCCCTGGAAAACAGACAACCGACTGCAAACAGAAACCACACAAATGTTTTCCCACATGGCTATTGGAACCGATAACACAGGAGCCAATTAGGGATTTAATTGTTCATTTGCAACCACTTCATGAAAAATGACAGCCTGGAACTGATTGGTTGCAAAGGGCAAGAACACAGTTTCTGTGAAGAGAAGTTGATGATTGCAACAGCAAAAGCGCAGTACGCAATTTCTAGACAAGTGCGCCCTCTGCTGTCCATTTTTAGCTATGATCTATATTCCGGGATAATCACGCCGGCGCCTAACGCAGACCCCTGGGCTTCATTAATAAGATAAACGGTAAACTTGTGCGATTCTGCTCTTGGCAGTGCAACTCGGGCGTTCTTACCAGATAATTGTCTTTGTGAAATAATGGCTTCATCGTCAAATCCAATATTTGCAAACTGTGTTTTTGCTCTGTTCATAATCTAAGAATACTGCCAGCATGCTTTCAGCAATTATCTCGCTTTTCCTTCCTTGTTCAGGGGCAAGGCCAGGCAAGAGCGCTAAATGCTAATATTTTTTTTCGGCAGTGAAAAAACAGGAATGAGAATTTGTGAACGCTCTTATGATCAAGGAGAAATGTCAGTGTGAAAGTCAATGGGGAACCATCTGGCGCTGCCACACATGGGCGACTTTAGAACCCTTTTGGGAAACTACATCGTATGGTCTGAAATTTGTAGACACTTGACCATTACTCCTATCTATATGGACAAAATGATGTGTCTCCAGTGAAGGGTCCATGTAATCCTACATCATACAAAGACATTGTAAACAATTGTGCTCTTGTGGTAACAGTTTGGTAAGGACCATTTTCTGTCCCAGTATGACTGTGCCCCTGTGTACAAAGCCAGCTCCATAAAGACATGGTTTGACCAGTCTGGTGTGGAGGAACTTGAGGGTCCAGCATAGAGCTCTGACCTCAACCCTACTGAACATCTTTGAGATGAATTGGAACACCGATGGTGGGTCAGGTCTTCTCATCCAACATCAGTCCAGTTCTTGGAGGTTCATGAATAAAGAACTCCAAGAACTGGACCATACCAATAATGATCATCCCTTTTCAAATAAATACACTATATGGCCCAAAGGATGTGAACTACCCTCCAAATGATGGAGCTCAGGTGTCTCTAGTGAAGGGTCCTGGTAGTACTCCACCATCCAAAGACATTGGAGACAATGGTGCACTTCCAACCTTGTGGTAACAGTTTGGTGAACACCCTTTTCTGTTCCACCACGACTGTGCCCCTGTGTACAGAGCCAGCTCCATAAAAACATGGTTTAACCAGATTGGTGTGGAGGAACTCAAGTGCCCTGCACAGAGCCCTGACCTCAACCCTACTGAACACCATTTGGGATGAATTGGAAGACCAATAGTAAGTCAGGTCTTCTCATCCAACATGATTCCTGTCCTTGGAGGCTCATGATTAAAGAACTCTATCCATAAAGGTAACAGGATTATCCAATTTCAAACAGATACACTATATGGCCCAAAGGATGTGAACAGGTGTCTCTAGTGAAGGGTCCTGGTAGTACTCCACCATACAAAGACATTGTAGACAATTGTGCTTTTCCATCATTGTGGTAACAGTTTAGTGAAGACCCTTTTCTGTTCCACCATGACTGTGCCCGTGTACAAAGCCAGCTCCATAAAACATGGTTTGACCAGATTGGTGTAGAAGAACTTGAGTGTCCTGCACAGAGCCCTGACCTCCACCCTACTGAACACCGTTTGGGATGAATTGGAAGACCAATAGTGAGTCGGGTCTTCTCATCCAACATGATTCCTGTCCTTGGAGGCTCATAATTAAAGAACTCTATCCATAATGGATCCCACTTCAAACAGATACACTATATGGCCCAAAGGATGTGGATACTGCTGCAAATGATGGGGTTCAGAGGTGTTTTCAGTGAAGGGTTCTGTTAATATTACATCATACAAAGACATTGTAGACAATTGTGCTCTTCCCACCTTGTGGTAACAGTTTGGTGAAGACCCTTTTCTGTTCCATCATGACTGTGCCCCTGTGTAAAAAGCCAGCTCCATAAATACCTGGCTCGACCAGTTTGGTGTGGAGGAACTCAAGTGTCCTGCACAGAGCCCTGACCTTAACCCTACTGAACACCTTTGGCATGAATTGGAACGCCACTGGTGGGCCAGGTCTTCTCATTCAACACCAGTTCTGACCTCACAAATGGGAACAAATTTCCACTCCCTGCAAAATCAGGTGGAACATTTTCCTAGAAGAGTGGAAGATGTTAGAGCCACAAAGTGGGGCCAATTCCATTATTGGCCATGGTTTTGGAATAGGATGTCCAAAAAGTTCACCAGGTGCCCACAACCTTTTTTTGGCCGTAGAGAACGTGCTCTCAACCTGAGACAATTTCCCAAATTTATGAAAAAAATAGTGCAGGATTGTTCTTATTCATTTGGTATGATATTGTTGAAGAAAGGCCAAATCTCAACTCTCCTCCTATGGTGTTGCGTCTTCGTTTTCTAAAAAAAAAAGCAGGGTATTGCTCTGCCAATAGCAATCAAGATTCTGCAGCCTTTTGGCAAGCGAAGGAGTGATTTCTATTAGGGACAGTGTTGGCTGCGGTTCAGTGAAAGTGCGACCCCCAACTCTTGATGGGTAACCCTCACCCTGTTTTTCATAAGCCCAACCCGAATGTGTCCACCACTATCTTGGCTACTAGGAAACTGCTGGCGAAGTCACTTCATGTTTGTTCCGGAAAGTCGAGAATGGTGGACAACGTAATCTTACATAAGCCTGTACTATGGCAATTAAACGCAGAGGATGTAGATTCCTTCACACACCCAATCGTGACTGTTTAACGTCTTTTGTCCTGGTGAGTCTCTGACCTCCATACTTGGAATGCGTGAATAAGAACTTCTGACTTTGTCTACATGTTCCAGGTCAGGGGTCTGAAAGCAGCGATGCCAATGAGCCAGCATAGCAGCCAGGCAACTACAATTATTAGTAGGAGATCAGCAACTGCAGCCACCATACTGCTTTCAAAAGAGGGTTACCATAAGGCAGGGGTGTCAAACTGGCGGCCCTCCAGCTGTTGAGGAACTACAAGTCCCATCATGCCTCTGCCTTTGGGAGTCATGCTTGTAACTGTCAGGCGTGCAATGCCTCATGGGACTTGTAGTTCTGAAGCAGGGGTGTCAAACTGGCAGCCCTCCAGCTGTTGAGAAAGTAGTATAGAGGCTAGTAGTGTAGAGGCTAGTAGTGTAGAGGCTGGTAGTGTAGAGGCTAGTAGTGTAGAGGCTGGTAGTGTAGAGGCCAGTAGTGTCGAGGCTAGTAATGTAGAGGCTAGTAGTGTAGAGGCTAGTAGTGTAGAGGCTGGTAGTGTAGAGGCTGGTAGTGTAGAGGCTGGTAGTGTAGAGGCTGGTAGTATAGAGGCTGGTAGTGTAGAGGCTAGTAGTGTAGAGGCTAGTAGTGTCGAGGCTAGTAGTGTAGAGGCTAGTAGTGTAGAGGCTAGTAGTGTAGAGGCTAGTAGTGTAGAGGCTGGTAGTGTAGGGGCTAGTAGTGTAGGGGCTAGTAGTGTAGAGGCTGGTAGTGTAGAGGCTGGTAGTATAGAGGCTAGTAGTGTAGAGGCTGGTAGTGTAGAGGCTGGTAGTATAGAGGCTAGTAGTGTAGAGGCTAGTAATGTAGAGGCTAGTAATGTAGAGGCTAGTAGTGTAGAGGCTAGTAGTGTAGAGGCTAGTAGTGTAGAGGCTGGTAGTGTAGAGGCTGGTAGTGTAGAGGCTGGTAGTGTAGGGGCTAGTAGTGTAGAGGCTAGTAGTGTAGAGGCTGGTAGTGTAGAGGCTGGTAGTGTAGAGGCTAGTAGTGTAGAGGCTGGTAGTGTAGAGGCTGGTAGTGTAGAGGCTGGTAGTATAGAGGCTAGTAATGTAGTGATGGTGGTGGTGATGGTGGTGATGATGGTGGTTGGTGGTGTTGTTGATGGTGGTGGGGGGGTGGGGTGGTGTGGGTGGTGGTGGTGTGGGGGTGGGGGGGTTGGGGGTGGTGTTTGGGGGGTGGTGGTTTTGGTGGTGTGTGTGGGGGGGGGTGTGGTGGTTGTGGGGGTGGTTTTTGGTTTGTGGTGTGGGTGGTGGGGTGGGGGGGTGTGGTGGGGGGGTGTGGGGGGGGTGTGGGGGGGGGTTTTGTTGTGGGGGGGGGGGTTTGGTGGTGGTGGTGTTGGGGGGTGGGGGGGTGTTTTGTTGTTGGTTTGGTGGTTTTGGTGGGGTGGGGTGTGGGTTGGGGGTTGGTGGTGGGGTTGGGGGGTGGTGGTGGGGGGGTGTGGGGGGGTGGGGGGGGTGTTGGGGGGTGGTGTGTGGTGTTGGGGGGGTTGTTGTGGTGGTGGTGGGGGGGGGGGGGGGGGGGGGTGGGGGGGGTTTGGTGGTGTTGTGGGGGGTGTGGTGGTGTTGGTGTGGGTGGTGGGGTGGGGTGTGGTTTTGGGGGGGTTGTTGGGGTTTGGTGGTGGTGATGGTGGTGGTGGGTAGTGTGGGGTGGTGGTGGTGATGGGGTGTTGGTTTGGGTGTGGGTGTTTGGTGGTGTTGTTGATGTGGAATCAGTAATAACAATAATAATTGCAGTGCGTTTTAATGCATAACAGCTCCTTGGGAACCTGAGAGCCTCTTATCTCTGCTCCGGAGTGAAGATAAAACATAAAAGACTATTTTGTAACACAAAACCCTCGATAGCGGCTTTCAAGCTTTTCTTTTTTTTTTTTTAAATTGACAATCAATTGATAAGAGCGGAGTAAATCAGGAGTGTGCGCCATTTGTGTATCTAAATGACTCCAAGAAATGCGCCATCCAAGCCCAGAACACTTTATTTTAGAGCATAATTTAAAAGTCATCAATTCAGACAATTCAGACGTGTTAAAGGGACGAGCTGATTTAAATGGATCTCTTTGTGGTAATGCTGAGATATTCTGAGCCGGCAGCTGAGAAAAATAGGTAGAATTTTAGAGGAGTTTATTTTAAAGGGGAACTTATTACTTTTTATAATTTTTATATATTGTGATGTCATTGCCCCCCCCCCCCCCCCCCCCCCCCCCATGTTGTAGGAAAGAAGAGGATAAAAGAGACGTTTTGGATACCACAGGACCATGGCTGCTGATGGGGGGGGGGTGCAGGCAGCCCCTCACATACAGGGCTCAGGCCCATTCAGGTCAGCTGGGGGGGGGCACAGCAAGCAGTCGACCAATTTCCTGACCCCGTGTGCCCCCCCTTCTCCGCTCCTCATGACTACAACACTCGGAATCTCCCTTGCCTGGTAGGGAGGAATGTGGCCAGGCGAAGCTCACTGCATGGATCTATTGTAAATTGTGCTGAGGGTGCAATGACAACACTACAGGAGGGGCCCCAGGGGCCAGTGGGCACACCCCTCTAGATGAAGCTTCACTCTAAATCCCAAAGATGGGAAGAGCCCGAAAAAACGGCCAAGTGCTGTGTGTTAGGGGTATGCAGGGGGCGCAGAGTGAGGCATATTGGAGGATGCAGGGGGTGCAGAGTGAGGCACATTGGAGGATGCAGGGGGCGCAGAGTGAGGCGTATTGGAGGATGCAGGGGGCGCAGAGTGAGGCATATTGGAGGATGCAGGGGGCGCAGAGTGAGGCGTATTGGAGGATGCAGGGGGTGCAGAGTGAGGCATATTGGAGGATGCAGGGGGTGCAGAGTGAGGCATATTGGAGGATGCAGGGGCGCAGAGTGAGGCATATTGGAGGATGCAGGGGGTGCAGAGTGAGGCGTATTGGAGGATGCAGGGGGCGCAGAGTGAGGCGTATTGGAGGATGCAGGGGGCGCAGAGTGAGGCGTATTGGAGGATGCAGGGGGCGCAGAGTGAGGCATATTGGAGGATGCAGGGGGCGCAGAGTGAAGCATATTGGAGGATGCAGGGGGCGCAGAGTGAGGCATATTGGAGGGTGCAGGGGGCGCAGAGTGAGGCATATTGGAGGGTGCAGGGGGCGCAGAGTGAGGCATATTGGAGGATGCAGGTGGCGCAGAGTGAGGCATATTGGAGGATGCAGGTGGCGCAGAGTGAGGCATATTGGAGGATGCAGGGGGTATAGAGCGCAGGTAATAAATGGGTGATGCAGAGGGTACAGAGGATAGGGTAAGGATGGATGTAGAGGGCAGGGTATGTGTGGATACAGAGGGTGCAGAGGGCACAGAGGGAAACGTAAGGAGGGATGCAGAGGGTGTAGAGAGCAGGGTAATGGGAGATGCAGGAGGCATAGAGGGCAGGGTAAGGGTGGATGCAGGGGGTGTAGATGTAGGCGGCCATATTTGTTCATTACATATGCAGGCTCTGCTTCCTGCTTCGTAGTGCTGCACAGTGATTGTTCTTTACTCTTCCCACTTATTTACTTGTATTTTTCGTTTTGGAGTGGAGAGGGGTTAGACCCCCTCTCAGGATTCATTGTTGTCTGTGCCCCCCGTTAGGGAGATTCCCCCCTGAGACTGTTATGAGCGAACGTGAAAGAAAATCCCAAATTTTAGGTTGACACCAGAGCAGTAATAGAGGGGAAATGTTTCAATGAGGACACAAGTTCTGGTGACATGGGGGGGGGGGGGGGGATCTCAAGGGATTCCATAGCTTTTAGGGATTTCCGTTCACTTCCTGTTTTAGCTATGGGACAGGAAGTGAAGGGAAATCTCCACAATGGGACACAGATGGCAAATGAATCTGACCCTCCCTTACTCTCTCCAGAATGAAATGCCTATAGTGATGCTTTAAGCAAGGATGCTAATCGCTGTTTCTGGAGAAGATGGCCATTTAGAAATATGCTGTATAATTTCTGGTTATCTTAGCAGATCAGAAAGGGTCGGTGCATTGCTCTCTCGCCATCTTTGGCAGGTAATAATTACATTCCAATGTACGTTTATCTGTTATGCTGGCATAGGTGACCCCCCCACTCACCTTGTATCCCTGGATGTCTCCATTCTGTGATTCCAGAGGTGGCGGGTCCCATGTCACATCCAGCTGTACCGCCGTGGCAGTCTGTATCGCGACATTCTGCGGTGGAGCTGTGGGCACTAAGGGAAACAAATGGATTCACGAATTAATTTACTTTCGGATTGAACTCCGGATTCCAGTGCTGCAAGATCATAACATTACCCAATGTGACATTGTCAGTGTATTTAGGAAAGACCAGATAAATCAACCATATAAATACATAAGAATCAAGAAATATCATCAACATGATACAAACATGACTCACAAAAAAAGAGTTCTAAATTTACATATAACAAAGTCCCAAACGGTGCAAAAAAAATATATACGTAGCAAAATGTCCAAAACAATAAACACTCATCGGCCACTTTATCGGATTCTTTCTTGGATACACAGAATATAAACTGGATATAACATTTATAGGGAAAGGTGATCCCGGGAATATCCGATTGCCTCTCGGGGGTCAGGAAGGAATTGTTTCCCCTGCAGGAGCAAATTGGATCGTGCTTTGCTGGGTTTTTGCCTTCCTCTGGATCAACTCTGGGTGTACGATTATAACTTTTTTCATGGTTGAACTGGATGGACTTTTTCAGCCAGACTAACTATGTAACCAGCAGATGATGGACAGGCCGTAGCTGTTAAAGCATAAAATAAATTGTAATTGTAATTGGCGGGTTGGATATCAATCAATGGAGGATCGTTGGTCACCAGTCTGGTTCGCAACCCATCGCACCACTGCTTAACGTCGTTGCACCTTATTTGTTTTTGCACTTTTTTGAGTCATGTTTGTATCCTGTTGACGCCATTTCTTGATTTTTTTCTGTATATATATAGTTTAGTGGGCGATCGGCTGTCTTTCCTACATTGTCATAGCCGGGTTTTCAGGCTTTTACAGCTGCCAATTTTCGATCTCAGCGCGGGTTTTTTGTGTGTTTTATTTTTGACCATTTGCCAAACACACACAATGACATTCCGGACCACAACGCTCAGTACCGCCCACCACGAAGGTCATTGAGTATTCAAGACCGATAGGAAGGTGCATGCCGAGGAAATACAGAACTTTTAATTGGACTTCTACTGAGAATTGCAGCGACCAAGGTTGCAGAGCTGAGAACATTGTCCATATTGTGTGATAGGCGGGTGGATCTTCGTATCACAATGGACTACCTTGGCTTTCACCAGGACCAAAATGTTCCCAGGCGGCCGCCGCCATTGTAAAGTCATATTCAGTTCTACATACCTGGAGTACAATGTACATGGATGTCTAATATATTGTGGAATGTGGGCCCTATACCTCGAATGGAAGATTAGAACAGCCATTATAGCACACTGTATATAGCATAGGTTACAATAAAAGTGTTTTGCTGTCGTCCGATCTCCCAGAAGTGAGTCCACCCCCCTCCCCGGACTGTATACAATGTATATAAAAAATATATATATATATACACATATATATATATATATACATATATATATATATATATATATATATATACTACATACACACACACACATATATATATACACACACAGTATATATATATATATACAGTATCTCCCAAAAGTGAGCCCCTCCCCCTCACATTTGTGTCAATATTTGATTCTCTCTTTTCATGTGACAACACTGAAGAGATGACACTTTGCTACAATGTGACGTAGTCAGTGTACAGTTTGTATTAACATGGAAATTTGCTGTCCCCTCAAAATAACTCAACACACCGCCATTAATGTCTAAACCGCTGGCAACAAAAGTGACTCCACCCCTAAGTGACAAGGTCCAAATTGGGCCAAATTGGGCACAGCCTTAACCCTCTTGGGCATGGAGGTCACCAGAGCTTCACAGGTTGTCACTGGAGTCCTCTTCCATGACAACATCACGGAGCTGGTGGATGTTAGAGACCTTGCGCTCCTCCACCTTCCGTTTGAGGACGCCCCACAGATGCTCAATAGGGTTCAGGTCTGGAGACATGCTTGGCCAGTCCATCACCTTCATCCTCAGCTTCTTTAGCAAGGCAGTGGTGGTCTTGGAGGTGTGTTTGGGGTCGTTATCATGTTGGGATACTGCCCTGCGGCCCAGTCTCTGAAGGGAGGGGATCATGCTCTGCTTCAGTATGTCACAGGACATGTTGGCATTCACACAATGAACTGTACCCCCCCCAGTGCCGGCAGCACTCATGCAGCCCCAGACCATGACACTCCCACCACCATGCAGCCCCAGACCATGACACCCCTACCACCATGGGGCCCCCAGACCATGACACCCCTACCACCATGCAGCCCCAGACCATGACACTCCCACCACCATGGGGCCCCAGACCATGACACCCCCACCACCATGTAGCCCCAGACCATGACACTCCCACCACCATGGGGCCCCCAGACCATGACAACACTCCCACCACCATGCATGCCAGAGCCCCAAACCATGACACTCCCCACCGCCATGCGGCCCAGACTAAGTGACACTCCCACTGCCATGCGGCCCCAGATCATGAACACTCCCACCACCATGCTGGACTGTAGGCAAGACACACTTGTCTTTGTACTCCTCACCTGGTTCCCGCCACACACGCCTGACACCATCTGAAACCCAATCAGTTGATTGTGGTGTCATCAGACCACAGGAGACGGTTCCAGTAAACCAGGTCCTTAGTCTGCTTGTCTTCAGCAAACTGTTTGGGGCTTTCTTGGTCATCATCTTTGAAGAGGCTTCCTTCTAGGGACGTCAGCCATGCAGACCATGGGATGGCAGTGTGCGGCCTATGGTCTGAGCCCTGACAGGCTGACCCCCCCACCCCTTCACCCTCTGCAGCAATGCTGGCAGCACTCGTACGTCTATTTCCAAAGACAACCTCTGGATATGACGCTGAGCACCTGCACTCAACTTCTTTGGTGGACCATGGCGAGGCCTGTTTCTGAGGGGAACCTGGACTGTTACACCGCTGTATGGTCTTGGTCACCGTGCAGCAGCTCAGTTTCAGGGTCTCAGCAATCTTCTTATAGCCTAGCCATCTTTATGTAGAGCAACAATTCTTTTTTTCAGATCCTCAAGGAGTTCTTTGCCATGAGGTGCCATGCTGAACTTCCAGTGACCAGTATGAGAGAGTGAGAGCGATGACACCAAATGTAACCCCCCCCCCCCGCTCCTCATTCACACCTGAGATCCTTGTAACACTAACGAGTCTCATGACCCCGGGGAGGGAAAATGGCTAATTGGGCGCAATTTGGACCTTGTCACTTAGGGTGGAGTCACTTTTGTTGCCAGTGGTTTAGACATTAATGGCGGGTGTGTTGAGTTATTTTGAGGGGACAGCAAATTTCCCATGTTATACAAACTGTACACTGGGACTACGTCACATTGTAGCAAAGTGTCATTTCTTCAGTGTTGTCACATGGAAAGAGAGAATCAAATATTGACACAAATGTGAGGGGGAGGGGCTCACTTCTGGGAGATACTGTATAATATATATATACATTTATACAGGTCCCGGGGAGGGGGGGATACTTCTGGGGATACTGTATATATTATATATATATACATTGTATACAGTCCGGGGGGAGGGGGGACTCACTTCTGGGGGATACTGTATATATATATATATATATATACATTGTATACAGTCCGGGGGAGGGGGGGACTCACTTCTGGGAGATACTGTATATATATATATACATTGTATACAGTCCCGGGGGAGGGGGGGGCTCACTTCTGGGAGATACTGTATATTATAATTAACATTGTATACAGTCCGGGGGAGGGGGGGGACTCACTCCTGGGAGATACTGTATATATATATATACACTTGTATACAGTCCAGGGAGGGGGGCTCACTTCTGGGAGATACTGTATATATATATATACATTGTATACAGTCCGGGGGAGGGGGGACTTACTTCTGGGAGATACTGTACTATTATATATAAACAATTGTTACAGTGGGAGGGGGGCTCACGTCCTGGGGGACTCCTGTATATATTATTATATATATATATACACATTGTATACAGTCCAGGGGGAGGGGGGGGCTCACTTCTGGGAGATACTGTATATATATAATATTACATTGTATACAGTCCCGGGGAGGGGGGGCTCACTTCTGGGGGATACTGTATATATATATATATACACTGTATACAGTCCGGGGAGGGGGGGCTCACTTCTGGAGATACTGTAAATATTATATATATATACACTGTATTCAGTCCCGGGGAGGGGGGGCTCACTCCCTGTGGGTTACTGTATATATATATATACATTGTATACAGTCCGGGGGAGGGGGGGCTCACACCTGGGGGATACTCTATATATATATATATATATATATACAGTGTATACCAGTCCGGGGAGGGGGGGCTCACTCCTGGGGGATACTCTATATATATATAATATATCATTGTATACAGTTCCGGGGGAGGGGGGGCTCACTCCTGGTAGATACTCTATATATATATACAATTGTATACAGTCCGGGGGAGGGGGGCTCATCTCCTGGGGGATACTCGTATATATATATATACATTGTATACAGTCCCGGGGGAAGGGGGGCTCACTCCCTGAGGAGATACTCTCTATATATATCATACACTTGTATACAGTACCGAGGGAGGGGGGGCTCACTCCTGGGGGATACTGTCGTATATCTATATACATTGTATACAGTCCCGGGGGAGGGGGGGGCTCACTCCTGGGGGATACTGTATGTGTATATATATACAATGTTGTAAATAATGAGAATGAACATGAAAACATGGATTTAGCCCCGCCACGACACATAACAGGTTCTTGGAAATAGCGATTTGTTTTAATGAAATAATCGTTTTCTTTGAGAAGAGCGATTTGATTGATTAATGATCGTTTTTATTGTAAAAAAAAATTGTTGCTGCAAGAACTTCCACTGAATATCGACTTTGTGCGCTGAAAGATTTTTTTTTTTTCTTTTAAACGATCTCCACGTGTAGGAAGAGTGACAAAATTTCTTCCATAAATATAAATGTATAAAAACACTCACCTGCTTCTTCCCACAAACACCTCCTGGGGGGACACTTGCCGGCCCTTCACGCAACGGCGTTGTACACGCTGATTTCTTGATCTCGTATCGCTTGTGCTTGTTCAGATCTGACACAACAGAGAAAAAAGGTGGCAAGAACCGTTATCCTAACGACATAGTATGGATTATCCACTATTCCCCCCACCTGACACCAATGATGGGGCCCTACTTTCCTCCCACTGACACCAATGATGGGGCACTATTCTCCCACTCGACAACCAATGATGGGGCCCTGATACTCCTCCCACTGACACCAATGATGGGGCCCTACTCCTCCCACTGACACCAATGATGGGGCCCTACTCCCTCCACTATGACACCAATGATGGGGCCGCTATTCTCTCCCACTGACAACAATGATATGGCCCTACTCCGTCCACTCTGACACCAATGATGGGGCATCTATTTCCTGCCCACTGACAACCAATGATGGAGGCACTATTCCTCCCACTGACACCAATGATGGGGCACGTATTCCTCCCCACTGATACCAATGATGGGGCACTACTCCGACACTGACACCAATGAGATGGGCACCCTATTCCCACACTGATGGGGCAACTATTCCTCTCCCACTGACACCAAAGTATTGGGCACTATTCCTCCCACTGACACCAATGATGGGGCTCTACGATTCCTCCCACTGACACCAATGATGTAAACACCGGCAATATTCCTCCCACTTGACACCAATGATGGGGCACTATTCCTCCCCACTGACACCAATGATGGGCACTATTCCTCCCACTGACACCAATTGATCTGAGGCACTATTTTCCATCCACTGACATTCCCAATGACTGGGACACTATTCCTTCCTACTGACACCAATGATGGGGCCAACACTATTCCTCACACTGACACCAACTGATGGGGCACTATTCCTCCCACTGACAACACCAATGATGAAATTCGGCATCCACTATTCCCTTCCCACTGACACCAATGATGAGGGCCCACACCTAGGCACTATTCCTCCCACTGACACCAATGATGGGGCAACTATTTCCTCCCACTGACACCAATGATGGGGCCCACTATCGCTCCCACTGAGACACCAATGATTGGGGCAACACTATTCCTCCCACTGACACCGTCAATGATTGGGGCACTTTCCTCCCACTGACACTTTGATGATGGGGCACTATTCCTCCACTGACACCAAGGATGGGGGCTACTATTTCCTCTCCCACTGACACCAATGATGGGGCACTCGATTTCCTCCCACTACTGACACCAATGATGGGCACATATTCCTCGCCGACTGACACCAAATGAGGGGGCCCACTATTCCCCCCACCACCCCCCCACCAATGAATGGGCACACTATTCCTCCCACTGACACCAATGATGGGGCCCACTATTTCCTCACACTGACACCAATGATGGGGCTAGGGCACTATTCTTCCCCACCTTGACACCAATGATGGGGGCCCTTATTCTCCCACTGACACCAATGAGAAGGGGCCCTACTCCTCCCACTGACACCAATGATGGGGCACTATTCCTCCCACTGACACCAATGATGGGGGACGACTATTACTCCCACTGACACCAATGATGGGGCACTATTCCTCCCACTGACACCAATGATGGGGGCCACACTGTATCCTCTGCACTGACACCAATTATGGGTGGCACTACTCCTCCCACTGACACCAATGATGGGCACTATCACTCCCACTGACACCAATGATGTGGGGCCGTCACACTCCTCCCACTGACATCCAATCGATTGATTACTGGGCACTATTCCCTCCCACTGACACCAATGATGGGGCTACTATTCCTCCCACTGACACCAAATGATGGGCACTATTTCCTCCCACTGACACCAATGATGGGGCACATATTCCCCCCACTGACACCAATGATGGGGCCCACTATTCCTCCCACTGACACCAATGATGGAGGCACTATTCCTCCCACTGACACCAATGATGGGCGCACTATTCCTCCCACTGACACCAATGATGGGAACTATTCCCCCCACTGACACTCCAATGTATTGGGGCCACTATTCCTCCCACTGACACCAATGATGAGGGCACTATTCCTCCCACTGACACCAATGATGGAGGCACTATTCCTCCCACTGACACCAATGATGGGGCACTATTCCTCCCACTGACACCAATGATTGGGCACTATTCCTCCACTGACACCAATGATGGGGCACACTATACCCTCCACTGACACCAATGATGGGGCACTATTCCTCCCACTGACACCAATGATGGGGCACTATTCCTCCCACTGATACCAATGATGGGGCACTATTCTCCTTCCCACTGACACCAATGATGGGGCAACTATTCCTCCCACTAGACACCAATGATGGGAATTGGCACTATTCCTCCCACTGACACTAATGTATGGGGCACTATTCCTCCCACTGACACCAATGATGGGGCACTATTCCTCCACTGACACCAATGATGGGGCACTTATTCTCCCACTGACACCAATGAATGGAGGGCACTATTCCTCCCACTGACACCAATGATGGGGCACTAATTCCTCCCACTGACACCAATGATGGGGCAACTATTCCTCCCCACTGACACCAATGGTGGGCACTATTCCTCCCACTGACACTAATGATGGGGCACTATTCTCCCACTGACACCAATGATGGGGCGCACTATTCCTCCCACTGACACCAATGATGGTTAGGCACTATTCCTCCCACTGACAACCAACTGATGGGGCACTATTCCTCCCATGACACCAATCGATGGGGCCCTACTCCTCCCACTGACACAATGATTGATGGCACTATTCCTCCCACTGGACACCAATGATGGGGCACTACCATTTCCTCCACTGACACCAATGAGGGGCACTATTCCTGCCCCACTGACACTAATGATGGGCACTATTCCTCCCACTGACACCAAATGATGGGGCACTATTCCTCCCACTGACACCAATGGATGGGGCACTATTCCTCCCACTGACACCACTTGATGGGGGCACTATTCCTCCCACTGACACCAATGATGGGGCACTATTCCTCCCACTGACACCACTTGATGATGGCCGCACTATTCCTCCCACTGACACTAATGATAGCGGGCACTAATTCCTCCCACTGACACCAATGATGGGGCACTATTCCTCCCACTGACACCAATGATGCGGGGCACTATTCCTCCCACTGACACCCAATGATGGGGCACTATTCCTCCCACTGACACCAATGAATGGGGCACTATTCCTCCCACTGATACCAATGATGGGGCACTATTCCTCCCACTGACACCAATGATGGGGCACTATTCCTCCCCACTGACACTAATGATGGGGCACTATTCCTCCACTGACACCTATGATGGGGCACTATTCCTCCCAGCTGACACCAATGATGGGGCACTATTCCTCCCACTGACACCAATGATGGGGCAACTTATTTCTCCCACTGACACCAATGATGGGGCCCCTACTCCTCCCACTGACACCAATGATGGGGCACTATTCCTCCCACTGACACCAATGATTCCTCCCACTGACACCAATGATGGGGCACTATATATCAGTATAGAGATCCAGCAGGAGACTCCTCCCCATTGGGATCTGATTGGTTGTCAGAGTCTTCCTTTCATTTTTTTGAGCAGTGTATATATATATTTATATTTGAGGCAGATCAAAGGATGAAAAAAGTGAAAGGAAGGTTTTTTTGTTTTTTTTTAAATAATAAGAAAAAGCAATTCTTGTATTTAATACGCAGGAAATAATATCTTTATTCCAATTCAGTTTATTTAACGATCTGCTTCCCGAATCTTCGGTGACTCGGCCTGCAGAGCTGAATGTTCGATTGAACGCTTTCTGTGGTCTATGAACACTACAGATCTGATTGTCTCTACAGCAGTACATCTAATAGCATGCAGTTAGGGATGGAGCAGAAGGAGGAGCTCACCAGCCTGCTGCTTCTCCTTTCACTGTCCAATCACAGGCTGGGGGAGGGACAAGGCAGGTCAAAACCCAAAACCAAAAATGTCAGGTATGGCCGCTTACCAACCATTAGATGTGGCGGCTGCATTCGTTTTCTTCTTTTTTTTTTTTAAGGGCCTGGTGATCTGACCAGCAACACACCCTCCCAGGGGCGGACTGACCATTCGGGCACTCAGGCACTGCCCGAGGGCCCGGGGTCAGCAGGGGGCCCCATGAGCTGCCCCTGGTACCTTTCATAGGCTTTTTTGTTTGTGGTTTGAGTGTGGGCAAGGACACAGGGGCCCCATGATCTCCTATTGCCTGGGGACCCCATGAGTTGTTAGTCCGCCCCTGCACCCTCCTGTATTAGAGCGCCCCCATTCTGGATGGAGGAGCAATGGAGACACCTTTGGACAGCAGGGGGGAGGGGAGCGTTAGATGGACTAGCAGATTTAGATTAGACATGCAGAACGAAAACGTTTGTTTTATTCAATAATTTTGTTTAGTTAAATTTCATTTAATTTGTTTTTGGAATTTGTTTATGTTTAGCTTACGAATTCGATTTGAATCTTCTGAATTCAGTTGAATTAAATTCGGGCAAATCAAAAAGTATAGAACTCAGATTTATTCTATCCGAAATTCAAATTTTGGGAGGCAGTTATATTCCCTTTTATTCTGTTTGCTTCTATTCTTTTCTATTCTATTAGAATTTGAAAATATTCTATTTGAAATTCAAATGACAGAAGACAGTTATATTCATTCTATTCTATTCATTCTATTCTATTCTTTTCTCCATTCTATTTTTTATTTTTCTCTTTTCTTTATCTCTTTTTTTTTTATCGTATTATTTTCTATCTTAATCTTTTCTATCCTATTATTGTATATTCTTTTATTTTTTGTTCTGTATTTTTTATTCTATTCTTTTCAAAATTCTAATTTGGAAGTGGATATATGTTATTTTATTCCCTTCTATGCTATTCTTTTCTACTCTATTCTACTCTCTTCCTTTCTACTCTATTACTTTCTATTCTATTTTATTCTATTCTGTTCTTTTTGAAATTCAACTTTCGGAAGGCGGCTATATTTAAGTTTATCCTCTGCGATTCTATACTTTTCTTCTATTCTATTCTTTTCTTCTTTATTCTTTTCTATCCTATTATTTTGTTATTTTCTTGTCTATTATTTTCTTCTCTATGTTATTCTTTTTTGCTCTATTCATTTCTACTCTTTTTTTTTTTTATTCTATTCTATTTTACTCCATTCTTCTTTGAGAAATTCAGCTTTCGGAGGGCAGTTATTTTGTTCTTTTCTAATCTATTCTTTTCTACTCTGTACTTTTCTATTCTTTTCTATTCTATTTATTTAAATTCTATTTTCTATTCTATCCTTATCTACTCTATTTTATTATTTTCTATTCTATTCTTTCTTACTCTATTCATTCCTACTCTATTCTTTTCTACTCTGTTCTTTTTTCTGTTCTATTTTATTCTATTCTTCTTTGCGAAATTCAGCTTTTGAAGGGCAGCTATATTTTTTTGTTCTTTTCTATTCTATTCTAATCTATTATTTTCTACTCCGTACTTTTCTATTCTATTTATTTAAATTCTATTTTCTATTCTATTCTTGCTTTCATATTAGTTTTCAAATTTCGAATCCAATTGCATTTCGGATGAAAATTTTGTTTAGTTATTTTGGATTCGTTTAAATTCATCACTATTGAAATTTGGATACTTAAAAATCTCTGAATAACAAAAAAATTCAGAACGAAACGAACTGCACGTCTGATTTTCCAGCTGACGCTGGAGTTGCAGTAACAGTTTTTGTTCCTTTTGGGATAAAGATTTCACAAACATACAAGAGGACCAGTATAAGAACCCCTGCCAGTGATAAATTGTTTGTCTCAAACCTCTGACTATCACTTTTGCTTACTTCTTGGATCTGTTAAAGGAAGTTGATAAACAACAGACTTACTGGCAGGATCACCAGGTGAAAGTAAAAGCATTCAAGCCTAAAAAAAAATGAAAACTAATGCAGCCATCATACACAGTTGCTACAAATTGATATCCTGCACTATATTATAATTTTTGTTTTAATTACAGTATACAAATAGCAGGTTTTTTTTTTTTAACCTGACAGACAGGGCTGTGCTGCGTGGCAGAGTTGTGCAAATCCCAGAACTGGATGGGCAAAAAGGAAAAAAAAATCCTTCGACAGATTAAACAGATAAGAAGTGCGATTTCTTCTACTCTACAAGCATTACTCTCTAGTAGCATGCAGTTGTCATGACCGCACTTACTGTCCAGCTCGTACTGGGAGAGGGTCGGTTCGCTGAGGTTCCGGATCATGTAGGTCGCTATACGGAATGGCAGAGCAAGGATCGGGGTGGAGAAGGGAGTGAGGAACAAACGGAGGACAGCAGTCAGGCAATGTTAGTATACACAAGACATGCAGACATATAGAGAGCGCGATTCCCATGCTGAGAAAATACACAGACAATGCAGCATAAAGAGAACCTGTCACCAGCACAACAGTGGACAAAGGAGGTTCTTACAAGCAAACAACATTATTGGAATTCCTCTTGTGGGTGTCCAGGGATCCCCGAGACTCTGGGAGTGTGCAATAGGCAGAGATAGACTTTGTTCCCCTTTCCTATCCCATAATAGCAAGTAGGTACCCTCTCCTTGGGTCCCTTAGGCACCTCCATTGGATGTGGGGGAGTGCCGGAGCTCCAGCTAGGTGTAGAGTCAATATATATATATATGCTGTACATTCCCCAGGTTATATTTGTCTCTTAGCTGCCAATCACACCCCTCCCCCTCTTTCCTGCTGCCAGGCCAGGTTAGTACAGTCATGGTGGAAGAGAAAAGGGTCTTCACCAAACTGTTACCACAAGGATGGAAGAATTGTCCTCATTGTCCACAGTCCTAAATAAGTTAGGACTATGGGCATTATTACTACAGAAGCTCGTTCTATACAGTAGAAATTGGTGTTAGAAAATCTAGGACTATAGACGCTTGTATTACTGAAGCCGGGACTACAGACGCTCGTATTACTGAAGCCGGGACTACAGACGCTCGTATTACTGAAGCCGGGACTACAGACGCTCGTATTGCTGAAGCCGGGACTATAGACGCTCGTATTACTGAAGCCGGGACTATAGACGCTCCTGTTACTGAAGCCGGGACTATAGACGCTCGTATTACTGAAGCCGGGACTATAGACGCTCGTATTACTGAAGCCGGGACTATAGATGCTCGTATTGCTGAAGCCGGGACTATAGACGCTCGTAATACTGAAGCTGGGACTACAGACGCTCGTATTACTGAAGCCGGGACTATAGACGCTCGTGTTACTGAAGCCGGGACTATAGACGCTCGTATTACTGAAGCCGGGACTATAGATGCTCGTATTGCTGAAGCCGGGACTATAGACGCTCGTATTACTGAAGCCGGGACTACAGACGCTCGTATTGCTGAAGCCGGGACTATAGACGCTCGTATTACCGAAGCCGGGACTATAGACGCTCGTATTGCTGAAGCCGGGACTATAGACGCTCGTATTACTGAAGCCGGGACTATAGACGCTCGTATTACTGAAGCCGGGACTATAGACGCTCGTATTACTGAAGCCGGGACTACAGACGCTCGTATTACTGAAGCCGGGACTACAGACGCTCGTATTACTGAAGCCGGGACTACAGACGCTCGTATTACTGAAGCCGGGACTACAGACGCTCGTATTACTGAAGCCGGGACTACAGACGCTCGTATTACTGAAGCCGGGACTGCAGACGCTCGTATTACTGAAGCCGGGACTATAGACGCTCGTATTGCTGAAGCCGGGACTATAGACGCTCGTATTACTGAAGCCGGGACTGCAGACGCTCGTATTACTGAAGCCGGGACTATAGACGCTCGTAATACTGAAGCTGGGACTACAGACGCTCGTATTACTAAAGCCGGGACTATAGACGCTCGTATTACTGAAGCCGGGACTACAGACGCTCGTATTACTGAAGCCGGGACTATAGACGCTCGTATTACTGAAGCCGGGACTACAGACGCTCGTATTGCTGAAGCTGGGACTATAGATGCTCGTATTGCTGAAGCCGGGACTATAGACGCTCGTATTACTGAAGCCGGGACTATAGACGCTCGTATTACTGAAGCCGGGACTATAGACGCTCGTATTACTGAAGCCGGGACTACAGACGCTCGTATTACTGAAGCCGGGACTATAGACGCTCGTATTACTGAAGCCGGGACTACAGACGCTCGTATTACTGAAGCCGGGACTACAGACGCTCGTATTACTGAAGCCGGGACTACAGACGCTCGTATTACTGAAGCCGGGACTACAGACGCTCGTGTTACTGAAGCCGGGACTATAGACGCTCGTGTTACTGAAGCCGGGACTATAGACGCTCGTATTACCGAAGCCGGGACTATAGACGCTCGTATTACTGAAGCCGGGACTATAGACGCTCGTATTACTGAAGCCCGGGACTACAGACGCTCGTAATACTGAAGCCGAGACTACAGACGCTCGTATTACTGAAGCTGGGACTACAGACGCTCGTATTACTGAAGCCGGGACTATAGACGCTCGTATTACTGAAGCCGGGACTATAGACGCTCGTATTACTGAAGCCAGGACTACAGACGCTCGTAATACTGAAGCTGGGACTATAGACGCTCGTATTACTGAAGCCGGGACTATAGACGCTCGTATTACCGAAGCCGGGACTATAGACGCTCGTATTACTGAAGCCGGGACTATAGACGCTCGTATTACTGAAGCCGGGACTACAGACGCTCGTATTACTGAAGCCGGGACTATAGACGCTCGTATTACTGAAGCCGGGACTATAGACGTTCGTATTACTGAAGCCGGGACTACAGACGCTCGTATTACTGAAGCCGGGACTACAGACGCTCGTAATACTGAAGCCGGGACTACAGACGCTCGTATTACTGAAGCCGGGACTATTCTGGAAGTTAGTATTTTGGAATCTGGAACCAAGGATCAGTGGAGAACGTGCAGTCCTACGTTGCGGCTCCCTGCAGCTTCTGCTGTACACTCCTATGAGATACGTGGACTGGCACGTCATTGGTTGCAGTGTTCCGTTACACATGTGACGCCCCGGAGCCGAATCACGGAGCTGTATTTATTTTATTGTCTTCATTATTTCTCTGTAATTACCTCATTGACATGTTCAGTTGGCACACAATTATCACAAAGGTGACAACCAGCCATTCCTTCCCAACACAAAAGAGTTATATAAAGGAAAAGTCCTTGAAATGTAAAATAAAAGCACCGCAGGAGGCAAATAAATGACTGTCATTAACACCTCCCAGTCCCTGTCACTAGGCTGAGATCCTGGAGGAGGCTGTGAGACTACAGCACACCTCCGCTGCCGGCATGTTGTTGGAGTGAAGGAGTCCTCCTTATAGTCTACTAGAGGCTGAGTGCTCCATGTCATTGACGGGACCCCGCATTCACTGTATCCGCTCTTCCCCTGGACCCCGCATTCACTATATCCGCTCTCCCCGGACCCCGCATTCACTATATCCGCTCTCCCCGGACCCCGCATTCACTATATCCGCTCTCCCCGGACCCCGCATTCACTGTATCCGCTCTTCCCCGGACCCCCGCATTCACTATATCCAGTCTCCCTGGACCCCGCATTCACTATATCCGCTCTTCCCGGACCCCGCATTCACTATATCCGCTCTCCCCGGACCCCGCATTCACTATATCCAGTCTCCCCGGACCCCGCATTCACTATATCCGCTCTCCCCGGACCCCGCATTCACTATATCCAGTCTCCCTGGACCCCGCATTCACTATATCCGCTCTCCCCGGACCCCGCATTCACTATATCCGCTCTCCCCGGACCCCGCATTCACTATATCCGCTCTCCCCGGACCCCGCATTCACTATATCCGCTCTCCCCGGACCCCGCATTCACTGTATCCGCTCTCCCCGGACCCCGCATTCACTATATCCGCTCTCCCCGGACCCCGCATTCACTGTATCCGCTCTCCCCGGACCCCGCATTCACTATATCCGCTCTCCCCGGACCCTGCATTCACTGTATCCGCTCTTCCCCCGGACCCCGCATTCACTATATCCGCTCTCCCCGGACCCCGCATTCACTATATCCGCTCTCCCCGGACCCCGCATTCACTATATCCGCTCTCCCCGGACCCCGCATTCACTGTATCCGCTCTTCCCCCGGACCCCGCATTCACTATATCCGCTCTCCCCGGACCCCGCATTCACTGTATCCGCTCTCCCCGGACCCCGCATTCACTATATCCGCTCTCCCCGGACCCCGCATTCACTATATCCGCTCTCCCCACACCCCGCATTCACTATATCCGCTCTCCCCGGACCCCGCATTCACTATATCCGCTCTCCCCGGACCCCGCATTCACTATATCCGCTCCCCGGACCCCGCATTCACTATATCCCTCTCCCCAGACCCCGCATTCACCATATCCGCTCTCCCCGGACCCCGCATTCACCATATCCGCTCTCCCCGGACCCCGCATTTACTATATCCGCTCTCCCCGGACCCCGCACTCCATATATCCGCTCTCCCCGGACCCCGCATTCACTATATCCGCTCTCCCTGGACCCCGCATTCACTATATCCGCTCTCCCCGGACCCCGCATTCACTATATCCGCTCTCCCTGGACCCCGCATTCACTATATCCGCTCTCCCCGGACCCCGCATTCACTAAATCCGCTCTCCCCGGACCCCGCATTCACTATATCCGCTCTCCCCGGACCCCGCATTCACTATATCCGCTCTCCCCGGACCCCGCATTCACTATATCCGCTCTCCCCGGACCCCGCATTCACTATATCCGCTCTCCCCGGACCCCGCATTCACTATATCCGCTCTCCCCGGACCCTGCATTCACTATATCCGCTCTCCCCGGACCCCGCATTCACTATATCCGCTCTCCCCACATTCACTATATCCGCTCTCCCCGGACCCCGCATTCACTATATCCGCTCTCCCCGGACCCCGCATTCACTATATCCGCTCTCCCCGCATTCACTATATCCGCTCTCCCCGGACCCCGCATTCACTGTATCCACTCTCCCCGGACTCCGCATTCACTATATCTGCTCTCCCCGGACCCCGCATTCACTATATCCGCTCTCCCCGGACCCCGCATTCACTATATCCGCTCTCCCTGGACCCCGCATTCACTATATCCTCCCCCCCCGGACCCCGCATTCACTATATCGGCTCTCCCCGGACCCCGCGCATTCACTATATCCGCTCTCCCCGGACCCCGCATTCACTATATCCGCTCTCCCCGGACCCCGCATTC